TACCTAAGTAAAAGACTATAATTATATAAACAAGACAGAAAATTTAACTGCAATAGCATTCTTGTGGGCACTCAGAAAAAGTAATGGGTCGTGTTTACTACTTTTCACTCCAAAGTGCTATCAGCTTTTCGGAATTGACACTGAAGTTAATCACCTTTTTCTTTCAACACTATAAGCAATCTGACAGCACCATTTGCATGTTAGAGCACACAGAAACATAAATCTATAAGATACATTGTGGCCGCTAAGGCCCAGTTCTAGTGATTGGGAGGGCATCTTGATGACCTGGGAGCAGTTGTCACTTTGCTGTGGGCAGTCCATAAAAGAAAAGACTGGCTGACAGTGACATAACACCCCATGCAAACTCAAGCTTTTTGTAAATTCAGAGCGGGTACAATAAAATAGAGTTAGTTCTCCATTGTAAACAGCTAATGTGGTTTGTGAATATAACCTCAGATCATTATTTTAACATTAATGATGGAAGGCTGTTACTTTAAAATAATTAAATGTTACTCTTTAAATTACAGAGAAATTCAGATCCTTCTCAAAATGTTCACATTAGAAAGAGCATTGGACTACACAGCTAAAACACTGAAGTAAATCAATGAGTTGTGTGATTTGCCAAAATCTATCTCATTTTATACACTTAAATTTCCAGCTTAAAATTGCAAATAAATTTGACAATACCTAGTAGGAAACAGATTAAGAATAAAAAATTACTTTCATGGAAATTTTCATATACAACATTAAAACCTAAGGATAAGAAGACAGAAAGTATATATTTTATAAAATGATACTTATATTAAATATAAAACATATACATGAAATAATGTAGTTTGTTGTGAGCACAATTCTAAAAATTACTCTTAAACATGCTTAAATGAATTGTCATTTCTTGTTAATATATACTCAGTAAAGCAAACATTAAACTTGAATACAAGACATAATTTGCATGTTTTTATATTCTTGAAAAAATAATGTGAAAACCCAGGAGATTTTGAATGCTGGAGAAATGATGAAGAGATGTCTATATAGCCAGGCTTCTCTGAAGAAAGATAGTGGGTTTTAACTGTTTGCAAAATGAATCACCTGCTTTATACTCTTGATTTATGTGTTATTAAATTACAATTAGTGAAGACAATGGGGAAAAAAGAGATAATGGAGGTCTATTTTATCTCCTCTTGAAGTACCAAAGCAGCTTAGATTCTACATTCTTTCTGGAATGTCTTTTTGGATTCTACCAATGCTAGCAATGTAAATACCTACATCCACATTGAGGTCTAACAATGTTAAATTTAACATTAAGTATCTATTTATATGAAAAACACAAATTTACACTTGCTTATTTTAAGCATACACCTACAGAATAATAAATGTCACATGGTGAAGCTGATGAAAACAAAGTAAAGAAAGATCTGAACAATGGAATAATATTTGGTGTTAAGTATTTCACTTTCTACTTAATACTTTATCTTGTATTTTACCACAGGGCATATTTCCTAGTTTATATAAATGTACCAGAAATTCCTAAGCTTGTGAAGATAACCATACCACTTTCAAATAATGGAATAGAGAGAGATATCCATGCCAATGTCAGAACACACAAAGACTTATTTTCTGCAGTACAATAGAAATAATAATAGAAAAAAGTATACAGTAAGTATTCTTCAAAATTCTGTTCTGATAGTTTGTACTGATTTCTTGCATGTAATGATAAATCTTAGTTATATATTTACACTATTATAAGTTTGTATTAAATTCCATATATATTTAATGAATCTTTCAGTCAGCTATTGTGGACTGATTGGCTTTTTTATGTCACTGATTAAAAAGTTTAATATGAAAAATAAACCTGTAATGTTTAAAAAAAAAGCCTAGACTTAAGAATAGATCTAAAATTAAAAACAAATTAAATTAACATACTGGTTATCACATGTGTATTCCTTAATTTCAAATGTGTTATATTTTAACATATGTGCCAACAAGTGATTTCTAGAACAAGAGAGCTGCCCTTTTGAAGCTGTTTGTAAATATGATATTTAGACTATAATACAGAAATGACATATCTTGCATTTAAAAATAAAACAATAAGCATGAGAGGAAGGTAGTTGCCACCATACCCTGTATTTCTTTCACACCTTTCTGTGACAAATATTTTTTATAAGAAACATCTAACTAAGAGAAAGAATTATATCAAAAGTCCTTTGTCTGAAAAAAATCCTGTTATATTAGTATTAATTCTTAGAGTAGTTTAATTTCTATTTTAATCCAAAAGAATATGCTAAATCAGAATGTGTATTAAACTAGAGAGAACAAAAGATTAAGTATTTAGAATGATACATTACTTTGAAAAAATAAAACAAGATCATACTACCCTTTACTGGAGGGGAAAAAAAGTACTTTCATTAGTATTTGTAATTCAGATCCAACTCCAATTAGTACCTAATTGATCTATGTTTGTGGTATGTTCTTCCTCTTCTGCTAATAAAATTCCTCACATTACCTTTTCTCTGAAAAGTAAAATTGCAAAGAAAAAGGTGGGGGGGGAACTTACTAATGTTTTCTAAGGAAACCTATGTATAGAAGCATAATTTGCCTTTAGTCAGTAGCACAATCCACTAAGTTCTTATAAATTTGATTTTTTCCAGAATGCATGAGATTTATCCCAATAAACGTTGCCTATGAAATGTTTTCATGAAAAAATTTTAAAAAATGCAACATCTTTGTACACTTAATGCCACATTTATTTTAAATTTCCCTAATTTTACTTCAAAATCTACACATATTAATTTATCATTACTCATCTCTTCAGGAGATTAGGTTAATAACTTTCCCACAAATAAATGCAGATATAGTATTTTCTAAATGTATGATAAATATTGCCCATCAGACACTGGCCTATGCCAAAAAATCCATCAAGTTCTTTTTAGTAAATTAATGAATGGATCATGTCATTTTGAGGGGGAAACAAACAATTCTATAACTTAAAAAAAATCAAGTCCTTTCAAAGAAAACAAATTGTGAAACTGTGGTGTCCTAATTCCTCTTTTAGGCCACTAAATGTATTCCCTTTCTAGACCTTAGTAAGTTTCTGATAATGGAAATTGAGTAACTTTGATTGGGAAAGGCTTTCATTACACACAGGTCTTTACAATATAAATTTTAACATTAATATTTAACCATAATATATACAGGGATAATAAGCTTCATTTTGTTCTGTTTGAAAGGTCATAGTTTTCCCTGATGATACATTGTCCCCAAATGACAGGAATAATGGCAAACTGTCAGTTGCAAACAATTTCAAAATGCGTACTCCGAACACATCTAGAATGTGACCGATTTAAAAGCCACTACTCATTTGACAAAACGCAAGCGACTCACCGAGTTCTCACTTAACAGGCCAGACTACTGGATGACTAAACACTATCAATCAATAAAAGTGTAATTGCTTAATAACTGCTTTTGAAGCATCTTAAGGAATTTCTTAACACTTTGTATGCTTAAAAATAACGCGTTGGAGCATCTTCCCAATTAAAAGAGGATCTACAGATGGCATTTACCCTTTCCTTTCAACAGAGAAAGATCTGCAATCATTTTTATGGAAGATTATCTAAAGAGAGGAATTACTATAAATCAATGGATATATATATATATATATATATATTCTATACTCTCCAGGTGAAACCATGCAGTTCTAGATTCTTGCACTGACACCTGAGGTAATAAATATTTTAAACTGAATCTCAACAGCTTCAGGTTTCAGACTGTAAGGACGTTCTGTTAGGAAACATCCCTCCCACCCCCAAAAAAAGAAAAAAAGCCTCCAGTTTACAACATTCAGTCAACAAAGGAGAGCGGATAATTCCCAGCAGGGAAAATACCGGGAAGGCTACCTTAGGCTTTGTTTTTGTTATGTAAAATGCATTAAAGTGACTCATCCATTTAGGATTATCCACTCTCAGAAGCTCTAAAGTACCTTCAAGAACCAAACTAAAGGTTTTCCCAGAATGCCTGATAAGCTATTCCGTGCATTAAAAAAAAAAAAGTATACATTTATGTGTGCCACTGACTCTGCTACCTTATTGCAGCCTAAGAAAGGATAGGATTGTCCTGTTTCTTTCCCTTCTTGCGTGTGACTGACTACAACTACCTTTCAACACTCTATTTTCAGAATAGCAACGAGGGTTGTTTTTAATTTTAAAAGTTATTTTAGAGGTATTAAAAATAAGGGGGAAATGACAGCGGACGGTAGAAACCTTCCTTTCCTCAAAGAATAGGGGTTCTTACTCATTCTCAGAGTAGGTAGCTCGTTTGGTAGGCACTTAAAAGCTTCAAGAACAAAAAGGTTAAGAGAGGTACAGCTGGGCGGCCCCAGGACCTGCGAGCCCGGGTGGACAGCACGCTCAGCTGCGCGAAGCCACCTCGCCTCTAACCTGAAAGGATGTCCAAGGGCCCAGTAATTGGGGATCTAAGTGAGTTTGGCCACTCCAGCAATTAGCTAGCATCCTAGAGGCCAAGTGCACAAGAAGTCCACGCTGCACGGGCAAGCCTGAAATGAACTACGGTTGGTCCAACACCCGACTAAAGCACAACTTTTATTAAACTAGGTGCGCCAAGGAAACTTTCCCCCTCACCCCCTCCAAGTCCAGTTAAAACTCGTGAGCTTGGAGAATCCTGTTAGGGACCCGACGGGTTGAGAAAGCCATGAGGGGGTCGACGGACGTTTCGCGGGACAGCCCGGACTCGGAGCCCGGATCCGCGGAGGCTCCGACACGCCGCTTCCGAGCGCGTTCCAGCCGCGCGCAGCGCTCAACCCGCTCCTCCCCGGCTGCCCGGGCTCCCAGCCCGGCTCTCCGGCCGCTAGCTCCCCACCCCCATGGCAAGAACCACCCCCGCCAACTCCCGGAGCCGATCCCCGCCTGCGACTTCCCGGGCATCCCTCGCCGTCCCTCGGCCCGCGCTCCCCGCCCAGCCCGGCCAGACCCGGCCCTCCGACTTACGTGACGGCCGAAGGGAAGGGCTCCTCGGACGAGGGGCCGATCAGCGAAGATTGGAAAAGTGTCAGAGTCAAGGCCAGCAGGCAGCCAGCAGCCATGTTCGCGATCGAAGCTCAATTCCCCTCCTTCGCCGATCGGGGGGGACCGGTGCGGGGCTGGGACCCGAGCGGGGCTGGCAGCGGCGGCAGCGGGTGGAGGACCCCGGAGCGCTCGGTGCCCGGAGATCGCCGGCGTCCGGAGCGCTGTCTGGCGCGCGCGGGGCCGAGGCGTGGAGGGGCGCGGGGTGTGGGCAGGGAGCGGCGTGGGCGAACCGCGGAGACCGGGCAGGGGCGGTGGCCTGCGGACCCTCTAAAGCGTCTCGGCTCCTCCTCGCCACGGCTGCCTCGCCTGCCTCGCCTCGGCCGCCATCAAGGGCGACTTTGGAAACGGACCTCGGCGAGGCTGCCGGCGATCGTGCGCCCTCGCTCTCCCTCCCCGGTTTCCTCCCTGATTTATTCCCCCAGATCGCCGAGGCGAAGGAGGAGGCGGGCGCGGGGGCGGAGGAGGGGTGACGGCGCTGGGAGGGGAGGGGGGGGGAGATGCAGGAATGGGGAACGGCTGGGAGCGAGACTTGTGGCAGCGAGGGAGAAAGAGAGAGGGGAAAGGCTCCGTCTGGCTTCTCCCGGCCAGTCGGAGGGAGGTGGCTGGGGGTGGGCAGCGGGAGGGCTGGGCGTCAGCGCGGTCGGGCGGGGACGGGCCGGGAACAACCCTCCATACAAGGCAGAAAGGAACTCCCAAAGTCGGCGTGGGTTTGCTCCCGCCGCCCCGCGTGCGGAGGGAGAGCTGACCCGGCCCCGCCTGGCTCCCCGGGGGGACAAGCAGCCGCCCGGAGGGCGTCCGCAGGCTGCGCTGGCTCTAGCTGAGTACTTGGCTGGAGTCGGGGGGGGGGGGGGGGGGGGGGGGGTCCGGGGGGAGGGAAGGGGGCATTCTTGCACAACTGGGCAGCGTTTCCCCCAACAGCCTCCTCTCAGAAGCAGAATCCACCGCCTGCCTAGGACTCATAAAATGATCTGATAAGGCATGCAGGAGTGGTTTGTGTTGCATTTTAAACCGCTCATGACTCTGCCAGGTGGCACTATTTTCCTGGGTGAGCCAGAGGTTAGAACCTTTGGCAGGACTGGGTACTAATGATGCCAGCGGCCCCACGCCCAGGTACGACTTGATTCGGTTACCTGGCAAGAATAGAGCCTCAGGGACTGGGCTGGAGACAGATAGAGAAGGAACTGATGTTTGTCCTGCCATTAGGTAAAATCGAAGGGTGGAGGATCGAATTCTTTATCTAGGGTACCCATTACAGTGGGTCTCCCTCCAAAACGCTCCAGTCGCCCTGCCTTGGCTACTGGGCTGCTTTCCCTGACAAGATTGTCGCACAGTGAATTGACTTTACTAATGGGAAGGCAGATAAAGGGTAAGCATTAAAACAGGTGGCACTCCGAGAACTGTGGAGGAGGGAGGAGGAGGAGGAGGAGGAGGAGGTCGTGAGGAATTGCCCCCGAGGGTTGCATTTACCTCCAACCGCAGGCGAAGCAGGGACTAGGCACGTGCAGGCCTTCCAAAAAAGGAAAAGAGGGGTTTTTAGGCCCTTTGCCCGGTACTAGCGGCCTCCGCAGAGGGCCTGGTGGGTCTCCCTTGGCACTTTACATCCTTAGGCGAGCATTTGAGAACCCATGAAGTGCAGGTAACACAATTCATGATGGGGAGGGAGGGAGATGGGGCGGAGGGAGGTCCTCACATGAAAATACGAAACCTAAAATCACTAATTATTGGTGTGACTGTACGATTTTTAATTAGCCCTTCCTCAGTTCCAGGAAAAGCTTATAAAGGGATAAAGACCCTTATTAATTAGGAATTGATTTTTCCCCCCCAGCTCTCTAAAGGCAACTTCCCATAACAAAGACTGATGTGGATAACGGCATGGAGGATTTACGTTTGGCCTAGCGGGTCCTCCTCCATCTTCCTCTTCCTCCTCCTCCTCCTCCCCATCTTCTCCCTCCTTCTCCTCCTCCTCCACCTCTCTGTCTCTCTCTGTCTCTCTCTCTCTCTCTCTCTCTCTCTCCCTCTCTCCCCCTCTTCCCTCTCTCTCTCCCCCTCTTCCCTCTCTTCCCGCTCTTCCCTCTCCTCCCCGCTCTTCCCTCTCCTCTCTCTCCTCCCCTCTCTGTTTTTTCAGATCTTATTTGTTTTCTTTGTGTCCTCAGCCTCTCTGTCTTGCTCTTTGTTTCTTTCTTCCTGCTCTGAATGGCCTCCCAAAGACACCCCAGCGCGACTTAACTTAGTTTGTTTTGTGCTGGGCAGTGAGAACGTGGCGGGAGGAGCCGCACCGGTGAGGGATGAAGAGGGATGTAATGGGATTGGAAGCTAGAGCTGGGGAGGATGCTTTCCTATGGCTGCAGATAGCTTTCCACTCTAAAATTAGACAACTAAATAGGCAAGTCCATCATTTTCTCAATTTTTAATGATTCAAAGGCAGATTTCCTTCCCCAGCATGAGGATTAGAAGAGAATTAGAGGCCCATTATTGTCTACGTGATATGTTGGTATCATAATTGGCTCCCCGCATAAAAATATCATTATAATGTATTCTATCAATTATTTCATTAATGACTGCAGACTTCTTATGGTATACTATTTCTCATTTTACATCTTTGGTACAAAAGGCTTAAAGAATAAAAGAATGTAATAAACTTCTTGAGAAGGTAAGTCAGACTTTATTATTAACTTTGTTGGCCTTTGAGCCAAATCTCAATTCCTATGGATCACTCTGATGAAGTAGTGTGCTCTTTAATATCTGAGGCCTTGGATGAAAGATATTGCTTCCTCAAGTCTCACCAAAGGGGATGGTTATCAACCAAGAACCGAAATCTCTGTTCAATATTCTCTCATGGGGTTAGCTGTTAGCTAATAATTCATTTTCTCAACCTAAGTCTTTTTAATGAAGATATTCAAAATGTAATTTCTGTTTCTGGTGCATATATATGACAGTTGAAACAAAGCCGTCCCAGCCTCTGGTGTCTTGTTTCTACTGGATTAGCTGCATCGTTCTAAAGTGATTCTTCCTCTTCAGTTGTGTTATTTGGGAATTTCCATTAAAACCAAATCATATCCCATTACACTTAGTAAAACTTTGAAGAATAAACAAAGATTGCCATATGATATGAATACATATCATAAACTGTAGTGAAAAAATGGCTGTATTCTGAGCGGCAAATTAACAAGAAATCACAAACCAAAACCTACTATTCATTCAACAAAAGGTATTTTAATTAGAATGTAAATTGATAAACATAGTGAAGGATATTTTTGCATGTAATAATGTGAGGAAAAATTAAATTATTTAAGCCAGTATCTCCTGTCTAGCTAATCATTATTGTTTTATATAAGTGAAAGCCAGATTTAAAAACAAATGGAAAGCAAACCTCAACTGTCTATTTCCTTGTGGAATACTTTCAGGAGGTGGGAATTAAAAAGAAAATAATCCAAAATATCAACTTACTTGAGAAGGATAAAAGGGAAATACAGTGATTTATCCAAATTCATTTTTATTTTTAAATAAAGCATCATATAGAGCCCTTTGTTTAAAAATGGAAAAGAAACTAGTCTAAGAATATTACCAACACATAAGACAGTTATTTAGCAGGAAAATTTGCATGGCCCAAGTAATATCTATTGATATATATGACATTAATTTTTGAACTAAATGAACACAAAGCAATTTAAATAATCATTCATTGAAATTTAGGATTTTTACCCCCAAGAATCTTATACTGGCAAATTTATTCTAGCTCCGGTATTTCAAAAACATATCATCGACCAACCAAGCAATCACTTTTATGTTATTCTAGTTCCTATCATTGCTACTTGTAGAATTTTTTATTCAATTTTTAGTTCTTGCTTTATTTTTCCTTTTTCTTGGTTCCCTTTCTCAAATATAGTCTACAAACAAGAAATGGAGGCCTATAACATTTCTTACATTTTAAAATCTATTTGACTCTAAAATCTAGTTTTATAATAAGATCCATCATTCTATAAATTGACCTAAATTTCTTCTTTTTCAAAAAATGTTTCTTTTCCTTCTGGAAAATCACAGAACAAACTATAGAAAATCCACTCAATTAGGCCTACATCAACAAAGGATAATAGAAAATTCAGTTATTTGTCCACATCATTAGCCACAAACGTGCAAAGGAAAACTGTTAATAAGGATAGATAATGGAAACTGAAATGGCGCAGACCATTGACTCCTGGTGCCCTTTCACAATTCTAGACTTTATGGCTTTTCCATGAGAGAGGAAGATAGGCCACCGATTTGTTGGCATTGGTCATCTGTTGCTAGGAGTTTCACACTCTTTAAACACCATAAAACACCATTATAACGCACCATCTTCCTGAGCAATTGTGGATGTCTTGTGGATCAAATTCACCCTCTGAATAACTTCTTACCAGAGGCTACAGAAAACAGTTCATTTCTCAGATGCATGCCAACAGAAGCACAGCAAAACAATGTAGCTGGAGATTTCCCCTTCTGCAAGAAAGACTGTCAAGAGGGAAAATAAGAGAATAAGAGTTTTAATTTTCTTGCCACATATTTTACATTTATGTAACAAAATGCCTTTCTCTCATATTTAGAAAGAACTATCTGAGCATATAGGGAACTTAGTTAAACCTCTATATTCCAGTGACAGATGAGTAAAATAGAGAGCATGTTTTTGTAGTTTATCACAAATACAGATGTTTACTTTTATATTTGGTGTTTGGAAAGATTTGGAAATCAGCTTAGGCTAAATGCTACCCAGTGGTAGATTTTATTCAAGGTATATAAAGTGATAGGATATGTCTCTTACCAGTTCCTGATAACTTAGCCAAATAATAATTCTGACTAAGCAAATGAAGTACATTGTTGTACATTATCTAATGCTCTATAAAAAATGATTTTGTATGTCTTACAACCTTATATAAACCTTTACATCTTTTATACCTTTAAAACTAAGGACAGGACTTAAACAATTCTATTCTAAAATAGCTATCCTGTCTACACCTGGAATTTACATACATTGATTTTCTTATTTCTATGTCATAAATGTCCCACTAGAGCAACCCCATCTTTAAGCATGTCATTCTCTCAGAATGC